TCTGTTTGTTTCGTCATTAAACATTGTTTTTATCTGTTTAAAAGCTGATTCAAATTCTTGGTGATGTTGAGGTTTGCCTACAAACTGCATCAAATGCGGCGAGTAATCATATGGGCACTGTTGTGTACTTAGATACAGGCAACTCTTTTTCCCCTCAACGCATTGCCCACTTCCTTGGAAAGACTAATGAGCTTGCATCTTCTCAGGTGAAATATTTCATTTACTCTTATTATTCTATTTATTTCTTAGTTCCTTTCTTTATCTTATATCCATACATTTCCATTTTTTCTTTTGGTGCTAACTCACTTTGGTCTCTGCTTGTTTGTCATTTTGAAGGTCAAAAACGAAATTCTGCAACGAGTAATGAGCAACATATTGTGTCACTCTGTGTATGACATCTTTGAGATGTTTGATTTGCTACATAAGCTAGAATATCAATTGAGATATCAGGTTTCAGTGAAATGAAGAATCCACACTGTTATGCTTTGATTGATTTTCATGTTCTAGTGTTATTGATCAAGTGATCATCAGTTCAGGACAGAGGAGGCTGTCAGATGCGATTGCTAATAATTGATTCAATCTCATTGCTGATCACCCCTGTACTCGGAGGAACCAGCTCACAGGGTATATAAACATGCATCACTATTTCCTCTGGTATACTATGTACTAATTTGCGGAGACACTTGATCAATTAGATAGAAGGTTCTTTTTTAAGTAAAATGAACAAAAAAAAAAAAAAGAAAAACAAATGGTTTTTTCTTTTTCCCATGTTAATAATTAGAAAGCCTACTGTATGTGTTTCTTTGTTCGTTCATAGGACTGAACATGTCATATACTGCCAATATGCATATAAGGAGTCGTTAATTCAAGCTTAATGGATTCAGGGCGTGCTTTGATGGTGTCTGCTGGATATTTGCTGAAAAAGCTTGCAGATCAGCATAATCTTGCGGTGCTTGTAAGTTTTGCTTTTGAAGCAATTCTGTGCTAGCATGGCTTGACCAATAAAATTCTAAAATTTGACTACCATTGCTTCCAACTAGTAATTTCTAGCCATATAACTATTTCTCCTTGTAATAGCTATTCATTAGGAATCTTGTTCTAGGTGACCAATCATACAGTGGGTGGTGAGGGAGGGACTTCCAAACCAGCTCTTGGAGAGAGTTGGAAGAGCATCCCACATTCGAGGCTTCTCCTGTCCTGTGACCGTGGGAGCAATGTCTGCAATGTTTCCATTTTAAAACACCCATCCATGGTATGCTCATATGTTCATGTTTCTCGAATTCTCCACATTCATAAATTATTACTTTCCTGCATGCCTTTACCTTGTGGCTTTTGCCTCGTTTTAGTAATCACTTTGCATTGCTCCTAATTATATTCTGCAACTGAAATGCACTTAGCAATCCTTACAACCTTCTTAACCATTCGTTTAATTTACATTTTCACATTTACATTAGGCTTCTGGGGAGGCTGCAAGGTTTGTGATTTAGAGCAGACTATACAGGTGAGCTTGGGATGTAAAGAAAATGGTAAAAAGGAGCTGTTTCATGAAGTAAAAATGCTAGTTACTTTTAAGCATGGATGATCTCAGCTGCATTAGTCAGGAACAGATGTAATTCAATTGTATATGGCAAGTGCTAATTGTTTTGACTGCTTTCTCTTCTCTTCTTGTTCTTTCAATGTATTATTGGTCTGACTTACGAAACTCTTCACCTTGTATTAAATCAATGTTATTACCACCAAAGTCATGAATGAAAGTCGTTAGTGCTGAAGCTTTTAGCTGTGTCAAGAACTGCATTTCAAATGAATCTTTATATCGATTGTTATGCTGAAGTTTAGAATCTTACTCCTAATGCTGG